GTAGCCCGGTGCACAAAAATTTGTGCACTCGGGGGTGAGGGTGAGGGGTGGGGCCAGACCCCTCAGCCCGACCTGCACCCTCTGTCATGTTCCAGGACCCCGGCCACTCCTGGCCTAGGCACAGGCCTACAGGTTTGGGGCGGCCTGGCTCCTGAGGCCCCATTTTATCAAGAGAACAAAGTTGGCGTTAGTTACAGCCCTCACCGAACCCAGTACACTGCATCTGTGCATACAACTGCCTCGTTCATGTGCCTGCTTCGCCCTACTGAATTACTAACATCTTGAGGACATAGCTCTATCTTATCCTGCTTCACCTTCAGTGCCTGGCCTGGTGCCAGGGACCTGAGAGGGGTTGGTGACTGAGGGAATGAGTGAATGAATGAGTGAGTGAATGAGTGAATGAATGAGCAAGTAAGTGAATGAGCAAGCAGCTACAGGGCGGGAACTTCCGCCACATTGCCATGGCAACACGGCAGAAGTTCCAGCCCCACTCCTGGCTGCCTGAAGTCCACCCGGGGAAAGTTCCTGCCCTGCTCCCAGTGGCCTGGTGCCCCTCTCCTGGCTGCATACTGAGTTACTAACATCTTGAGGACATAGCTCTGTCTTATCCTGCTTCACCTTCAGTGCCTGGCCTGGTGCCAGGGACCTGAGAGGGTTTGGTGACGGAGGGAATGAGTGAATGAATGAGCAAGTAAGTGAATGAGCAAGCAGCTACCCGTTGGGATAGTTCACACTCCACTCTGGGCTGCCTGACTCGAACCCTGGCAAGTTCCCGCCCTGCTCCCAGCGGCCCCTCGCCCCTCTCCCACCTGCATAGTTTGCGCAGGGCAAAGGCAGCCCGGGTGTGTGTGTTGGCAGATTGGTGCATTAGCACCCGCCAACCTGGGATCCCCTTGGGAGGGCCATATGTGGGTGTGGCCTGTGGCAGATCGCTGCGGTCCCTATACGGGCCGCCTGCTGCCCGGGTTGCAGATAGATGGCCCGGATGGCAGTGGGACAGGCGGGATGGCCCTGTCCTGCCCTGCCTGCAGTATGCAAATTAGCCACCATCTTTGTTGGCGGTTAATCACCATCGTGGTTGGCAGTTAATTTGCATATCATCCTGATTAGCCAATGGGAAGTGTATCAGAGGTACAGTTAATTACCCTATATGTCTTTTATTAGATAGGATAGTTGAAACAGGTACAGAGAGGATAATGAAAGTGTTCAAGGTCACAAAAGTAGTGAGTGCATTCAAACCTAGGAAGTTCAGGATACCAACCACCACTACTACAGACATGGACAGAGATACAAATGTAGATGCACTTGTCATCTATTCCTTATGTGCCTGTTTCCTTTACCTTGAGCTCCTTAAGGTCAAGGACCCTGCAACTTGTCAATAAATATTTTGTGAACCAATGAAGGAAAGATAATTTTGCTATTCCCTACAGATTTTTTTATTATTTTCATTTTATTTTACAAGTAACACTTTTGGCTGTTATTTCAAGTCTATTCTAGTATTATTTGGGTGGTTTGTTATGACATGTTATGACACTTTAAACCTTTACATTTAAGACGTCACTCTTTTGCTGAGACAAAAATGAGCTCTTCCTCTCCTCCTGCCTAAAATAATAGCAGATTAAGTGTTTACAGGAGGCGAGTGTGTAACCCAGGATTTCTGCAGCAGCAGGTTTCAAATATTCTAGTCAAATCCTGCCTTTTGTCCAATTCTTGCTGACGAGTGTTACCATCAAGCTTTACTCTGGTATCCATTAGTCACCAAGTACTTATTTTGAGAGTGGTTGCTATCATCACTTATTCCCTACAAAGGTGCCACCTAGTTACTTTTGTTTTGGCAATTATGGGTTAAATACATTCCTGGGGTTAGTCATGCTGAAGTGTGCATTAATTTCAAATTAATGCTCGGTAGGTTATTTCTCATAAGAGGAAAGCTTTCATTGAACAGGAATCTTTCAAAGCTCTTGCTTTTACTCTTCTTTTCCATCGATGAGAGCCTTCTTTCGCTGTGTAGCTATACTTTTCTACCCCTGCCCTACAAAGCTGTATTATATTGTGGTTAATAATGACTAGTGATTGAAAAGAACTTATATTTTCTTTTTATAATATTGTTCTCTTTTGAGATACCCACTTGACTGTTCTTCTTCACTGCTTTGCTATCATCTTTTACTTGCTACCCATCCATGAAATTAATGTCAATCTAAACAATTGTTCTAGTAAAGAGTTTTAAGATTATAAATATCTCATATAAGGCTCCTGGTTTTTTTGCTGTGGTTTCTTTAAATTCCAGTAATTCCCTGACAGAGTCCTCTGTCAGGGATTAATAAATTTGATATCAATTAGTTGATAGGAGAAAACATGTTTTTTAAGCTCCTTATTTTATATATTTATATTACCTTGCATGTTTTCATTCTAGGACTTTTCCACTTTGTGTCTAGTGTTCATCAACCATAGGGTATTTAAAATGCCTTTCTCTATTAATAAAGAGGAATATCATGAGCAAAAACAGTATGTATTGTAGCAACTGTATGTCAGGGACTGGTCAATAATAAGGCCTGATTGAAGTGGATGAAAAAATGGGAAATGAGCAATAAAGATAGTGACTTTGGATACTTCTTTCAAGAGACATGATCATAAAGAAAAAGCAGAGAAATGAGGGATGGCTGGAAACTTTCAATTATAGATGGACATATTTTTAAAAAATATATTTTTATTGATATCAGAAAGGAAGGGAGAAGGAGAGAGAGATAGAAACATCAGTGGTGAGAGAGAATCATCGATTGGCCAGGCTACAGGTACACATTTTAGATTGGTGATGGAGAGATGAGGTAGGACTCATCTGATAACTTCTATCTTCTCAATGAAGTATGAGCAAAGTGAAGTGTTTAGATTGGGGGGAAATGGTATTAAAGGTTTAAGGAAAGAAGAGAAGCTATAAAATAGTAATTTAGAAAGGTGGAGACTAGAATTTGTTAGAAATATCTGTTTTCCACATTGGTTCACTAGGGGAACATGTACAAACCTGAACTCCTACTTCACTTCAGTTTCATCATTTATAAAGTGAGAAGAATATTATCTACTTGCAGGATTGTAGTTAAGAATTAGAGATGATATATATATATATATATAATTACTAGCCCATAATTGGAGATTATTATTAATACTAGAGGCCCGGTGCACAAAAATTTGTGCACTCGGGGGAGAGGGGGGTCCCTCAGCCCGGCCTGTGCCCTCTCGCAGTCAGGGACCCCTCGGGAGATAACGACCTGCTGGCTTAGGTCTGCTCCCAGGTGGCAGAAGGCAGGCCCAATCCCTAGGTGCAGCTCCTGGTCGGGCTCAGAGCAGGGCTGATTGGGGAGTTAGGGCACCAACCCCTGTCATGCACAGAGCAGGGAGAATCGGGAGGTTGCAATGCCACCCTCAGTCACGCTCAGGGTAGGGCCGATTGGGGGGTGGGGCACCGCCCACTGTCACACTCAAGGCAGGGTTGATGGGC